CTGAGTCTGGTCCGAAAATCAGACCAGACTCAGACTTGACTAAAGTCTGGTTCGGGTCCGGTCCGTAGGAGCACTAATCTGAACTAGCAATTCTAATTAATCATACAAAAATTATAGTTTGGAATAAAGCTCCTATGATTAATGAATTGGCTTTTGAAGCTGTTGAACAAACATTCCAAGATACGGATGTTTTTTCTATGATTAAAGTGCTCAAGATAATACTGTATATAAAATTCTAGTTAACAGCACATTAAATCTTTAAGTTGATCTTGTTTTGCCATTAAACTTGTATATAAAAATATTGTATATAAAATTTTAGTTGACAGCATATCAAATCTTTAAATTGATTTTGTTTTGTCATTAAACTTGTATATAGAAATATTGTATATACAATAAGTTACTTTTGCTAATAAACATATTTTCAATAGCTCAAAAGGTACGCTGTCATCCCAGAATCTGGATGGCTTTACTTTTCAGATTTAGAAAACCTTCATGAACCATCTTAGGGGAGATACCAGCTGCTTTTGGAGCAGCTATTTCAGGCTCTTTTCACCAGTCTTCTGCCTGCTTTTTCATCCTTCCCTCACGGTACTCTGCTCTATCGATCATTGGTCCATACTTAGCCTCAAGAGGAAGGCTCCCTTTTAATTAAACCAGATTGTTTAACCCGGGATTGCTTCATCAAATGTCAAAATTAAGTGAGAAACATTCTTTAAAGGTTTTTTTTTTAATTTCATGCACCAAATTCCGGGTTAGAATGCATCACAGTTAAGCTGGCATTTAGCAATACTAGTTATAGTATTAATTTATTAATTACTATAGTGTTAGCACAGTTATTTGATTATTACCACTTTTTGCTCGAATGCATTTATATGTAAAAGCTTTCAACTAGGTAAAAGTTTCTAACTAACAACTAACGATATTTGGAGAGCTTCGATCGAGATATTGGAATATTTGGTGTAGAGTCACGGGTTTATATCAACTAGCGTTAGATTCTTTAGTAATCAAGGTCAAACCAAACACAGTGAAACCTCACTCTGTAAATTATATGCACGCTCAACCTCTGGCCCAAATATATGCATGACCTCTATAAATGCACTTTTTCTTATTGTTCTTCAAATGCACGTTGTTAAAGTTCAGTTCCAAGTGCATGCATTTATGGAGGTTTCACTGACTACGTACGATTTTTAACGATTGAATTCTACTTTTAGTATATATAACGAAATTATGAATTTCTGATTTCTTCATGAAGTTATTCTAGGTTTCTTATATTCTCTTTATTCCCAACATCCTACGAATACCCAATGTGGATGTTTAACAATGATTTATCGCAATCACAGAAACGCCAATTTTTTACGTCTAATTTAACATTAAGATAATGTTCATTGTAACAACAATTAGTGCCAGGTACGTGCTACGTGTCTGTACGTACGTACGTAGGCAAGCATTGTTAGTAGTCTATCATAAATCTTACGGGTGGCTGTTAATTTGATCACCTAGG